ATTACTTTTGTAACGTATTATTCATAAATGAGAAGTCATTCAATTATCTGATGGTTGTTCCTGTAAGTCCTATCTAATGCTCTTGACAAACGGTTTTCCTCTTAATTATGAATTGTATTGACTCGCCTTAACACGTAGAGAGATAGAATTGGATTTTGTTAGTCGAGTAACTGGAGGCTGGTCAAAGTGCCATCCTTTGGGATTGGGAGTAGAGAGGCTGAGGAAATCGCCGGATTAATTTGGGAAAGATAACATTACACTCTCGGGAGAAGCTGGGCTCGGGTTTTTTTTTTTCTTTTTAGAAGAAAAGAGAGTAGTGACTAGTGAAAACCCCAAAGCATGCTTTTGAACACTTGTCTTTAATAGCGTTATTAAATATGTAGTTGAAGAAAAACCTCTTTTTATCCAAGTACATACTCGTGTTTGAGAATCATTTCTGATTAAAACGGTAGAGACTGGCTATATATATATATATATATATATANTGCTTCCTAGTGGAATTATTTAAACAAATATTTTCTTAAGAAGAAACTGAATGGAAAACATTATAACATTCTGAACCTCCAACTTAAATCTAAGTTACTTAGTTTGCCTTCCCTCAAAAAAAAAATAATTAGTCATAAATATAATTTGAGGAAAGATAATTTTAAGATAAAAGAATGGTTATCTCTGCTGGTTTTAATATCAGAGATACTTTTAATAATATAAAAAATTATAATTTAATATTACGACTCATTAACTTTTAAAAGAACTAAACACACAAAGCCCTCATTTAATTACGAAACATCTGGTTTTGATTTCCTACTAGGATGAGTTGTATGATGTTAATAAAACGAGATAAAATTGCGTGCAATGTAACTAAATATTGTTCTTACTTCCATTTAATTAATATTTTTTGGTACATAGCAAATTTATTACTTGTCAAGCTGTAAATATATATACTTCTCACAAAAAATTTTAATATATTTGTTTTTTTAACTACATGGAAATGCGTAGTTTTCAAATAAAAAAATACTATATTCTACTATTAAAATTCAATAAAAATCAAATAAAATGTAGATCTATTGCATATATATATATATATATATATGCCCGAAATTGTTGCAATTCGAAAACTATTAAATTATATTAGACTTTCTTCTACACCTAAATATTTTGAAAATGATTTCAATTATTTTTTAGTAATTATTTTTATTTAATATATTCAGTAATTTTAATTCTGTTTCAATTTCCCAAACGTTTGATACCATGTTTACTTACTGTGCACACTTAAAAAAGTTGATTTTATTTATGACATTTTTTTTTTACTTTTACAAATGAACCGAAACAAATTTTATTTGGCAGAGTGTCTTTATTATACAAGAAACAGCTCTCATGTTTTTTATTTCTTTTTAAAAAAAAAGTTCGATATTTCACCTGTTAATAAATTGAATTCTCTGATCTTAAAGTTTCAATTGTTAATAAGAAAAAAAAGTAAATAAAAAAATAAAAAAAGGTTAGGATATTTATTAACTTAACTAAACGAATTCTTTAACTTTAAGTTAAGAAACATCACTTATGTGTACAAAATCAGAATACTCTACTAAAATCGTTCCATGTACTAAAAAATGCTAATTAATTCATTCAATTTACACTAACTATGTTTGAGTATCTACCTTCGTTTCTCAATCTAATTTTTAATTAAGTTGTTTCTTACACTCATTTCGGCATTGTCTTCCAAAATAGCTATCTGAAGCTAATTTTTTTTTCATTTCTCAAATGCAGTAAAAGTTTTAACGTCAAAAGGGACAACTTAATCTTAAAGGATTTAAACGAGCTCTATTATGGTTACTTCAGTTAGGGTTTGTTCTTTAGAAAAATTGTTCAATATAGCACATTCATAATACGATTTATTTGCAACTACGTTTACAAAAGCACAATGATACAAGAGCGCAGAGAATGACGATTGTGAATCCGATGTAGTAAAATATTGTTAATTAGCCTGCTATAGCTATATAAACATTACTTCATTTTTTTTAACCCCTCGTTAACTTTTGCTAGTAACAACATTTATGTAAACTAAACTGTTCAGCGTTTTTATATATATATATATTTCTTAAAAGTTATTTGCAGAATGTCGCGCAAAACATAAGTGTAAAAATAGCTTTCCATTGGTTATAAAAAGTTAAAGAAGCTGGTGGGAAATATTATAACAAATTTTGTATTAGTTTAATATTTAACAAACTTGAGCTGCGAAACTTTTATTTTTTGGGTATAAATGTTTTAATAAAGGTTATAGTACAAAAAATGAGGCATACAAGTTGGTTGTGCTATAAATTTTACAGTCGAATTTAAACATTTTTTTCTTCTTTTTTCAATGAAATAGCAAAAATACAAATTTGCACCGCTTAATCGTTTTTTTCTAATGAATGTTTTAAACAGCGGTGATTATTTAAAATTTATTTTTTTCAAAAGAATCTTTTAGAATTTGTACTTGAAAATAATTTAAGCCACCTTTATTATTTTTAGAGAATGGAATGCAAAATTAAAAATAATAAAGTTAGGTATAAAAATATAATCTCCCTTGCAAAGATATGCAAATGTTTATTCACTCATTGAATTCCAAATTCTTAATTTCAATATGAATACGATGAGAAAAATATCAAACTATTAGGTCGAATATTATTTTAGTACAAAATGACATATATTGCTGTAGTGTTGCCATCTATGAGATAAATGCTGAACTATGCAGTTAGTTATTTTGCAAAATAAATCTCAGAGGAATGGTTCTTTATTAAAAAATTAATCCCATTTATTAAATTAGAATGATGATTAAAATTTTTAAAATCTGTTAATTGTAGAAAATAATTAATCACTATAACAAATCTATAAAAATTGCAAATATTTTATAACAGTAATTTAAATGTTATGTTATAAGGTATCAAATGGTAATGCAAAATTTAATTATTATTGGACTACGTTTTTGTGATATCTACTGCATATTCAGAAGTCGATAAACTAAATTGCCCAACTTACCGGATTGATCCAGTCAAGACCACGCGTTTTTCCTACACCTTCTCCAGAAATAAAGGAGAAAAAAATTCTTCACGAAAGTCCGTATTTATCTTACGATAGTCTGAAAAGGTTTAAAAAGGGCCTTTGTCCCTCGAAAAAAAAAAGCTCGCATTTGCTCTGCACGATTTCAATAAAGGTGTAAAGTAGGTAGAGAGAATCAGTTTAAAATCAAAGGAGCTACTTTTTTCAGCAATTAGATAGGATTCGTTTCCAGGGCTAATGATCAGAATTTGATTACATTTATATTTGTAAACTTTTAAGGAAATTTTTTAGATTTTTCAAAAATAATTTTGAGTATTTCAGATCTTTATTCTTACAACTTGCGCACATTTTAACAGGGTTACATATTTAATGAGCGGTAGTTCGCAAATATTCCTCTATAAAAATCAAATAATTCGAAATTATGCCAAATTTTAAAAAAGCACACACGTTTCATGTTATGCCTAACGAATCAATGTGCAGAAACCATTTTGACACGACGATTGTTGTATTTAAACTCTGGACTAAATGTTTAATTACAAGTAACTTTTTTTTATACTTAACCTATATTCATTTTTTTTTTTTTTTTAATGTTTCGATGAGATTTTTAGGAATTTTCAAAAATTTCCTTTTCCCCATGTTTGTTAAATGTGTACACTGAATGCATAGTGAATAATAGTTAAAAAGTAACAAAGAAAATTAAAAATAAGGCTTAAAACTCTAATTTAAAATGAACTGAAAACAAAATTGATGGTCAGGGGCTCTTTGTCAGATAAGGCTATTACTTTCAAGAGTGTTTAGTTATTTGGAATGAATCCTCACTTAAAAAGCATTCTAAATCTCAATTTATTTAAATTATGTGTGGTCGCGTAAAATAATGTATTATAAAGCAAATACTGAATGGTGTATCGTATAAAAATGTGCCCCAACATATGGACATTTCTATGATGAGGCTTCTTAACTTAATTTAGAATGTAAAGCACTGAAAATGCTAAACATTTTTAAAATTTAAATTTTTTTTATTTTTTCAAAACTTCAAAAAATAAAACCAATGTATCAAAAAAATATTTTTTTTTTTAAATTTTCTAAATAATATCTGATCAGTGATCCACATGGAAGCAATGTATAAGATCATCTCTATAACAATAATGTAAGAGAAAGCCTGCAAAATAAACAAAAATAACACACAATTTTGAGTCCTTTAAATAACTTCAGTAATCACAGATCTTTTTAGGTATACTAGTCAAATTAAAACAGACTATAAACTTACAATACTCACAGAATTATTTAACTTTTACATCAGGCATATTTATGAGTTCAGCAACTCAAAAACAACTTTTGTAAGAAAAAGTCTTTTTTTAACTATTATTCAATGGAACTTTTTAGGCCATCTAGGCTTCTTATATTTCTCCACTGACCTTCTCACACACGCATTCCTGGTTACATCATTTCAATGCCATTGGAATCACAAATTGCACCATGTATATGGTCAATTTAGTTTTGCATCTCATCTGGACATTTTGTACACTCTTTTGTGATTGAATAATGTGCTGGATATAGTCATAATATTTTCAGCAGCAATTAGTTTTATATATTATTTTTGCATTGTGCTAAAAAAGAAGTTTATAAATATGAGTTCATCTTATTCCTATGAATTACATATTTTGTTTATGTACATTAATGTGTGTTTGCATAAAATTAAGTTTTTAAGAGCTTTCACGAATTATTATAGCTCAAAATATTTCTTAAATCTGACCATCACACTTTAATGAGGATCTTAAAAAACAAAAGTAGGGTAAAAAAAATTTATTTGCTCGGTGTAATTTACTTTATTTTCGGTAACTTAATGCGTGAAAAAATATTGATTTTTATCTTAAATCATATTCATAACAGCTCATTCAAATTTATAATAATAAAATACGCAAGTAACAATTATTTGAGTTTAAAAAAGAACACAAATCAAAGAGTTATTTTTAAAAATATTTATTGTGATGATTAAAGAATGGTTAAAATAAATTACAGAATATACAAGAAAATCAAAGCAATTATCATTCAAACTATATTTATTACCTATATACAGTGGAACCTATAAAAGTGACCACCTGGGTAAAGTGAAAATCTGAGTAAGGTGACCATTTTCTGCAAGTTTTATTTAAAGAGTCCTTTTTAAAGACTCTTCATAAAGTGACCACCTCTATATAGTGACCATTTGACTTGGTCCCGAGGGTGGTCAATTTAGACAGGTTCCACTGTACTACAAAATTCCTCTAACATATATCGGCGTTGAATAAGGACCATTGTTATTCCAATAATCTATTGCTTTAACTCTATAAAACCCTTTGATGAAGCAACTTTTATCTGAAATTATTACATAAAAACAATTAAAATTAAAACATACATTTATTAAAATTTTTTATTTTACAGATTAGAGAAGGGGTGCATCATCTGCACCCAGCGAGCCACATGCGGCCCGAGGCAATCTAAACAAAATAAAAATAAAAATAATGACATTTTTTTGAAAAATAAAAAAAGTTGGGAAATTTGAAATTGCGCTTTTAAGTTTTTGTCCCACCCTATCTCAATCAATGTGGTTTTTCGATCGCTTTTATTCGATGGTTAACGCTACGGATTTAAGCATAGTTTTGAAAATCTCAATATTTCTAATACGATATTATTACGATACACGAATCTCGAGTTTTAGTTTTCACTTGTGAAGCTCTTCGTGTGTGCCGATTTCATCGTAAATCCAATGCCTTTTCGGTAGTTATTGCTACAAATTTTCCCTTAGTTTCAGAAACGCGATTCTTTTTTAATGTTTTAACGTCATGAAGCGCTTTATTTGCGCAAACTTCATCGCAAATCTTGATTTTTTGATAATATTTTTTGGCAGCTATTGCAACTCGTTTCCGTGTGGTTTTTAAAATTTCGATATTTTTAGCACGATATTATTACGGAATCGCTCATTTAAATAAGCACTTATTGACGTGGTTTATTTGTGCCGATTTTATCGCATATCAAATTATTTTTCGATTGTTATTATTGCTACGCACATCTACAAAGCTTTGAAATTCTCGATATTTTTTATTCACTATTGCGACACTTTAATTTCGAATCTCGCATTTAAGTATATCAGCTTTTGACGTGCTTTATTTCTGCCAATTTCATCGTAAATATAAAGGAATTTTGATAGTTTTTTCGGTAGTTATTACTACGCTTTTCCCCGTGATTGAAAAAATCCTGATATTTTTTGTACTATAGTTTCAAGTCACGCGAGTTTCCAATCGAGCATTAAAATAATCACTTTTTACGTACTCTATTATGCCGATTTTAGCATAAAAATATAAGTTTTTTCGAACATTTTTTTTGTACGATATTGCTGCATTTTTACTTGTGATTTAGAATATCTGGATATTTTAACAATATTACAACTCGAGAAATTCGATTCTGATTTAAATTTTTTATGTAACTTAAAAATTAATTGCGTATCTTAGCAAAACCGAAACCTTCCCAGAGAGAATAAAAAAACCGAGATGTGTAAATTTATATTAAAAGCAGAAAAATAATTAAATACACGTGCATATTTCTTTAATCCGATGAACACGGGCAAGCTTAACAGCACATACCCAACGTATTATTCGTATTTACCCACTTTAAAAATCATACGTTTTGATTCTTTCCCCAATTTAAGTCACACATCTTAATTCTTGTTCAAGCGATCTAAAAATCATGCATCGCATTTCGCATTAACATTAACGAGATTTAAAATCACATATCACGATTCGAATTCTGGCGTTTAAGAAATCATACGTTGTTACTCTTGCAATTCAAAAATCGTACACCGCGATTTATATTCACACGATTCAAAAATCACATATCGTGATTCATATTCACGTGATTTAAAAATACGTTATTAGTCTTCATCTCACAATTAAAAAAATCACACATCTCGACTCGTATTCACGCGATTTAAAAATCACGCATCGAATTTTTTAGTCACGCAATTTAAAAATCACACACAGCAATTCGTATTCAAGCGATTTAAAAATAACACACCGTTCTTCTTAGTCACGCGATTTAATAATCAGGGAAGGAAGAGCACCATCTAGGATAAATTCCCAAACTGATTAAGTTATTTACAATAAGTTAAATATTGCCCACAACAACAGCTTCTGTCGAAATATTACATCCCAGAATAAATTTGGCATGTTCAAAATCAAGGAGCAGTCTTTAAACAAAATCATTACATTTTCATTTAATGGCCCGAAAATGCTATCACATGATAAAGTAGATTAAATTATTACAAATATTTGAAAATTTTCTTTTTTTTTCTATTTACATGGATCATTTTACATAATTTATGATTATATGCTGGGAAATGATTTATGTATCATTAAATATTAACTACAAAAAGAAAACAAAATGTAATCAAGATAAGTATCTTAAAGTCAATTTTAATTAATTGTTAATATATATGCATATTAATTGTAAATAGCGTCATGCTAAAGAAGTATTGGTCATAAAGAGTTGCAAACAAGTATCTTAAGAGTTTTTTATTATCAAGGAAAATAGTTCGTTCAAAATTAATATTTTCTTTTCTTTCCTCTCCTCTTACAATTTATTTAAAATAAATGTTATAAATGTGAAGTATACTTCCTGCTAAATGCTGAATCTTATTTTGCATTGTAATGGTTTTGTCTTAATTATAATCATTTTTAAAACTATAAACTTTCTTTAAATCAAATTATTTTAACTTGCATTTATTTTAATATCAAGAATATTTATTTTTTTAAAAATTTAATTCTATGAACACATTTTTTAACGTTAAAATTTAAGTTTAAATGGAATTTTGTATTATGTAATGTGATAAAAAAAAACATGGATTTTCCCTTTAAGTGTGATAAATTAATTTTGATTTTCTGATTCTGTTTTTTTTTAATCTAAGTAATCAGTTTTGAAGTTTATAATTTTAAACATTTAAAAATATTTAATTTTATGAAAACATATTACAAGGTTAATTGATAAAAAGAATTTAGTGCCTAGAACAATGATGTATATATAACAATTACTACCGACAATTGTTGTCAACATGTCTGTCTAAATACTTTGGCATGCAGCCCTTCATCAGTCTGTCTGCTGTGCATGTTGCCCTTCACTCTAAAAGGTTGTGAACCCCTAGATTAGAGGTGCAAAAACATTTTTAGCGGAGAGTCAAATTAAGCTCTCAGAGGAAAAGTGCAATTTGTTGATTTTTTTGGGGTTACTTCAACTGGCATTATGGTCATGTACTAGTTACTCATCAGAGAAAGATTTAAAATTATGAAAGGAGAAGATATTTTTATATTTCAAAAGTTGATTACCATCTTTTTCTATGAGTGGTATTGTTAGACCATTAAAGTTTTTTTTTTTTTTTTTTTTTTTTTTTTTTTTTTTTTTTTTTTTTTTTACTTTTGCATTATCTTGTTTTTCCCCCAGCTGAAAATGGTTATTTAAGTAAATAACTGAATCACGTAAAAACCAAAATTTTTAAAACTCAAAAAAACATACAAAATTAATACATTATGCATATTTTCTTTTAACATTATATAAGTATGTTATAATGTGCAAATGTATTATCAACCAGTGACTAATTAAGTAATCAGAAACACAAACCAATAAACTAGTCGATGATTTTACACAAACAAGTGCAACATAAATTTTGCATAGAATTTTTTTTCTACTTTTATTTATAAGACACAGGCATAAATTAACCTATGTTTTTAAAAAGTGAAATTTAAATTATAATAATATTTCATTTTATCTAATGATAGTCTGCATCAGAATTTTTGCACGAAGAGAAATATTTTTGAAAGCAAGTGTGATATTCGAAAAACATTTTCCCAAAAGCTTAAAAAATATATACATTAAAAAATAAGTAAAACTGCTGGAAAATGAAATAGTCAGGTAACAAAATTACTCAAACCACATAATAAAAACTGATTTCATAAAAAAATCAGCCTCATTTAATAAATTGTAGAGCAACTAATCTTGCATTTGCATGCCTTTATACAGGTCTCTAGATAGACCCGGTACATAATGCTTCATAGATCTTACATTTTCCAAATTTGTGCTTAATTTATATGTTGAATTCATATATGAGAAATCTGAGGCTGCCACTCAACATATTTTGCATTAACATAAAAATCCAAAAATAAAATTTTTATTTTGAAAAGAAAAAATTAACATTTATATTTAAGCTAAAAAAATTCTTTATCTATTAGAGAAATTCAACGAAAATATTTCAAAGAAAGTTTTCATTAACTCTTTTGAAACTATAAATTGATACTTCTAAATTTTTGAATATTATAGTTTGTGTATTTTTACAAATTTATTGAAATATCGATACAAAAATAACATTTGCATTTGAAATTTATGCAGTTTTCACATTTTCTTTTACTCAAAGTCAAAACTAAGACCACATATTTCAGATCTTCAAATTCTTATTATAAATACAATGCTATTTATACATTAATTAGTTTAAAACATCTTAATTGAACTGCCCATTGGTCAATTTCTTTCCTCTAACTTCTTGTTGCAACTTGATTTTGTTACAGTTTTCTTCATTCTCGGTCTTGGCACCAATGATTATACTTATTTATTAAACTAAAATAACTGCCTGTCATTTGAGCTCATTTATTTTTGTTCTATACATTGTTTTGACATTATTTACTTACATTTTGGATATTAAGGTTAAAGTTATTGGGTATTAGATTATACATTATCTGTATTTTATTTAAATAAAGCATTTTAATATTTACAAATTTTTATCAACTGATTTTATAAAAATACTTACTATTTTTTAAACAAGAATGCCAATAATATGGCATTATAATATTTTTCTTATTTAGCTGATGATAAGGACCATGTTGTAGAAAGCTGTGCTCAACTATATATGTTAAAATACATCTGAAATTGCACAAAATATATTAAAAAAGCAAAACTGGATAAATAAAATTTAAAAAAAAATCTAATCATTTCATACCTATTATAATCATCTGTCCAAGACAATTGCAAAGTAAAATTCCATGTCTGGAGAAATCGAACATTTTGAATCTAATAAAATACAATAATATATCATCTTAAAATATAGTGTTAAGTAAAAAGAGGTAAATTTAAAAGGATATCATAAAATACCTTACCCTTGATATAGCTTTCTGCGCTCTACAGATGTTGATTAAAATTACACTTGGATTATGCATTTTCAAACCAAGTTGAAGAGGGGTGCCACACTTAATAAAATATGGTCCTTTCATACGTGGTGCCTACATTATGAAAAATATTCTTTTAAGATAAAATTGTCGTACTTTAAAGCAGTGGTTCCCAAACCCCGGGCCACTCAAAGAACAATAAACTACTTTTAATTTCATTTACTGTTGTGCATTTCTCTCAGAAGTGGGCAATTTTCCAAGGACAAGGGGTTAACTCGGCGATTGATACCACAGCAGGTAAATTCCCAATGAAATTTCCAAAATCCTATCTCTGTGAAGCGAGGTTTTCTACAGTGGTAGCAACTAAAACAACAGAATAAACTGGACATAAGCAACATACTTTGGGTGTTCCTGTCGCCTATTACTCCCAAATGGAGTCGTCTTGTTACAAAGAAACAAGCTCAAGTTTCTTATTGATTTAGCATTCTAGTGAGTTGAAATGTTAAATCACTTTATATTCATTTTTCGAGGCAAATGTATTTTATTTTAAAGGAATGCTTAAATGCAATTAAATTAAAATGATTCGATCAAAATAATCTAAATTAAAAATAATCAATGCCCCCTCCTCTCAGTGGGCCATGGTAAACCTATGAAACTTTGACCAGTCTACAGCAATACAAAGGTTTGGGATCACTGCTTTAAAACAAACGAAATATATAAGAGTCATTTCTTTCTACTTTACATCAAATGATATAATTTTCACCCGATCAAATTTTAAAATGTCAATGAAATTTTGTACACAATTTTACAAGGTTTTAAATTGAAAACTTCAATCTCTTTAGCAATTATTTAAAAAGAAAATAAAAATTATAAGAAGAGATTTTAGAAATTATTAAAAAATAAAAGAAGTAGCAGATTTAAAGAGAAAATCGTGTGAGTAAACCCTAAGTAACAATAAGATTTAGTAACAATAAGATTTGTATTATTTTGTAACAAAGAAATTTGCCTCTTATTTCTTCGAAAGCTTTGAACTTGAGAAGCCAAAGCAGTTATTTTGTGAAAAGTTTTGTTTTGTCTGAAAACTTTTTAACTCAACTCATAGTGATAAATAACCCTCTGGCACTTTGTAAATGGATGCATTTATAGGCATGTTTTTACCTTATACTATTTTCCACCACAATGAAAAGGAATTGGTTTAACAACAGAAAAGCATGTAGGCCAAAACATGACTTTTTTAGTATACACAGCAGTGAAAAAGTTGAAGTTATGTATTTTTTAATTCAATTATATAAGATATATTATCCTTTATTACACAAATTTTTGACAGTTACCGAAAATTGAATTCTAGCCAAACATTCAGTGTTATGTCCAGCTTTAGTCAATACTTGATTTCATATACTTTTATGCTACAATATTTTGATAACTATTTTATCATGTCACATAAATGTTTGCCTTGATAACTGTGATGTTTTCTGCGTGACAGCTATATTTAAAGCAATTTCGTTTCTTACATTATGATTACTTTGGAAGCCTTATTTAAAATATACTGAAAAAAAAAGGCGAAACGCCTGGATGCATATATGCAGAGAGTCGGGTTATACAAGTTAAGATTTAGTTTTGATTTTCTGTTTTATAACAATTCACAGCTAAAGCCGTGTCCAATAGGTATTTTTTTTAAAAAATACAGAGCTCACATGCTTATAAAAATCACAATCATTCTAAAGATATCTATATTTATAGAAAAATTTTATTTTATAAACTGACATATCTACATTTAAGAAAAAAGGTTTTAAAGTTAAAATTTACAAAAAGAAAAAAAATCTACATTAATTACTATATTTCTATTTTAAATGTTTTAATTTAAATTTAGCATTTTGTTCAAATGTAAGCTACGATTTTAAGTAACAAAAGTGTTTTAAGATAATAACGTACTGTAGTTTGATTATGACAATTTGAAAATCACTCTTGTTTGAAAGCTTTTAAACAATTTTGTAACTTTCAGCATTATTTCCAGAGTCAAAATAAATATGAATACATTTTGACACTCAAATCTTGCTGTTAAGTCATGTTGCTAGTCAACAAATCTATTTAAAAATAAATGTAAAATTGTACCTTTAACTTTTATTCTTAGCTGAATTATAATAGTACAGCATGATGTAAATTTTTCTGATATTATGGCCCCACTTTTTTCTTTGTTAAAATAACTAACAGACTTGATATCATTAAGTTAGTATCTTTATGGTTTATCTAATTAAATATGCATAACATTCAATATTTTATTTAGTTTAATTACATTTGAATTACTTTTCAACTCTGTTGTAGCTGCTTCTTTTTTTTCTTAATTGAGAGAGTTAATGACTGAATGATGATCGTTTACATTAAATGGTGATGTGCATTCAAATACTTTCGTTAATCAAAAGCAGTTTTCATTTGGATTCTTTTACATTCCATTTCCCTGTTTCAATCTTTTTTCTTTTAATGTGACCTTTCAATTTCCTCAAAAAGAGTAATTCAATTCCATAGATTTATTCTTTATGTTCCTGAGTGGCATATTGGAATTAATTATATATATGATGCTCTTCTTTAAATCTTAAGAAGAAGAAAAAGCATGTATTATTTTCATTTCTAAAAGATAAACTCCCCAAAAGCTTGATTTTATAAAATGGTGATAATGATTTTCATAAAGGGTGGTTTCAACATGATTTGATATTGTAATAATTCTGCTCTTCCAGATTTAATTTAATTTATTAGAGACAATTACTGTAGTTATTCAATATTTGTATGTATTGCTTTAAAGGTTGATCTTCCAGTATTCAGGATAAAAAAATGCTTAGCAAGAAAACATTGACTCTTTTAATGCTATTAGTTACCTCAGAATCTTTAATGAGAGAAAATTGCTTTAATGATGGATAGATCGGCTTTCCAAGTTTTTTCCATTTAAGATGAGGGTTTGTATTAATGTTGTCCATTTCAAATATTGCAAAAGTAGAATCTGAAATAGAGAAGTTTTTTTTAAAAAGTAGCAATAATATTAGGAAATCAGTCATACATATATTTGGCTAACTTTTGATAACAAAGAAGCAAGGTTTTGACTCCAAATAAGCTTGTTGTTTTATTTTAAATTTTCTTGTTTGACTTCAACATAACTTCATTTAAAAAAATTTAATGAGAATAAAAGGAACTATAAATTTTTCTGAAATTTAATTTTGATACTTAATCTAAGTTACTAATCTGAGTTCAACTTTGAATACATTTTGCACAAAACTTCACCATAATCAGTCAATTTTTCATATTAAGAAACATCGTAATTTTGCCTTTGAATACAAATCATTCACAAAATGCTTATGTAAATGCTGCAGTGGTAGGATTAAAATAAATGATTATTAGTTTTTTATTCATTAGGTAATAAATTTCATGTTTCATATGTAAAAAATACTGTATTTTTTTCGAAAATTAATTTACAGATGGTAGAAATAGAGAGTTAAGATATTGAAAATGCAATGCACAAAACTAAACAAAACAAAATCTTACTTTGTAAGCAAAAGAAATTGAAATGTAGATGAACATCTGTCATTGATTCCTTAGTTTGATTTCCAACAGAATTGTACATGAGAACATTCACAACTCTGCAAAGAAATAAATACAAAACAAATTTAAATAATTATCTAGAAGTAAAGAAAATTTAGTATTGTTACAGTAAAAATATTTATATCAAATATTTAATATCATAACTATTTCTTTACAAAAATAATACAGCAAGCTAATATCATGAGTAAAATCAGTAAATGCTGGAATAAGATAAATTTATTAAAATTTCGAGGTTGTTTGTTGAAAAAGTAGTTACTTAACTACAAAATTTTAATAATTAGAAAAGTTCATACAACAATATAAATGTGCACATAGTTCATACAATATACAAGTTCATACAATGTACAAGTAAGCACATTAAAAAGATGTTTCTTAAAATCCCATTATAAATGCTTCAAAGATTGCTGTTTCTCAGAAAGAAATTAGACTCTTAAATTCTTCTTACATAGTGAATAGTGTTTTTAAAAACTTTAATTTTAACGAGTCATAGTATCATAATTTTGCTAAACAAAATTTTATTAAATTTTTGCAAACAAGCTAAGTTAATGCTTGTTGAAAGTTTGCAGACAGAATTTTATAAATTTTTGGATATAAGCGTATAAATACAAAAAAACTAAATTTTCCACAATTTGATCTAACAATTCAATTAGAGAAAGAAAATTACCAATGAAATACAAAAGAAGGGGCTAATTTCAGGAAGAGGAAGCTACTTTAAATATTTATGTACAGTGAAAACAATTGCAGCAAGCTGTCAAGATTTATAAAATGACTCAGGCACTCTTATTATTCTTATCATAGAAAATAAAAATCAAATTTGAAACAACAAAAAAGGAAAGAAAAATGTTATATGCAAACTATACTATGTAATTAGAGTTAATTAGGGCATACATGCATTTTTTTGGTATCCCAGCAATTTAATTGTAACATTAGGTTATAACAAAACTAAGACCAGTTAATCTCACAAACTTGCTCCTTTGTCCCTTTTGGCTAAACCACTTTGAGCTTTTGCCACTGTGCTTGTCTTTTTACATCTCTAACATTGTTCAGTCTCTAGACACAGCGGTAGCTTTTAGAATTGAAACTATAGTCTGTTCATTTCTGTACTTTCATTTGTGTGTCATTCATGATTTTTTTTCCCTTCAGATAATTTAATGTTAATTGTTATAATACTTTTTAAGAACTTTTAAAAGGAAAATAAAAAATGAATTAACAAAACATGCAAAATTAACAAATTGCAATAACATTTTTGAAAACACAATTATAAAATATTAAGAACCGTATTCTCGAATTTTAACTGAAATTGTAGATTCCTTGCATTTGAGTGTGTTAATAGTGTTTAATGAAATATGCAATTCAAAATTTCTAAGTCAAAATATCATATTAAAATCTCAGAATCATGTTGACTTGATTCGATTTTATTGCTGCCAAATAAAACAAACTGCATTTATTTAATATGTATAGATATTAATATGTACATATACATAAATATATAGTTACAGATCGGAATTTGAAAAAAATTCATCCTAGTTAATGTTATACTGTCTTACATGCATCAAAAACTAGCTTCATCACATCATATTTTTTTAAAATGCAATTTTAAAAAAAAACGGTTTCTAAAATATAAGTTTTAAAAATATTAGAAAAATAACTATTTTTGCAGCAAACAATTATTTGAAAGTATGCGATTTTGGGACCATATCATCAATTTTATACATCTGTTTTTGTTACATTTTTACCATTGTTTTCTTAATTTTCTATGTAAAAACACATGCTACAGCCATGGTAGCATTCATACAGCATATTCTAAATGCACATGTGAATATTTGGAAACTACATTTAAGACAAACTGCTTGTGCATGCACTTAACACGTTGATATGTGATCACATGTAGTGAGAATGCTCGAGTAGAAAAAAGGATAATGGTAAGGGAAGGAATAATTGTTTCATTGATGGAATTTTGTGAAATTTTCAAATTTTAAATTTGTGAAAATGTTGTCAGAATATTAAGTTTTGAATTTGCGAAAGTCTGTGAATCAACAGCTTTAAAATTCATGAATTAACCCAGAAAATATCACTGTGTGTAATTTTAGACACAAATACTTCTCAGAAATAACATGAAAAAATTAAATTTGCAATTGTATCTTAGAATACATTTATTGAATCAAGAAAATAAAGACAAAAGCAATATATATTTCTTAGGATAAAAAATGAAAAGATTTTGCATTGAAATTAAATTAAGTGTTATGGTAAAACTATATAAAAGATTAAGTTAAATACATATGAGTAAAAATAAACCAATGAGTCATATTTTAAGTCACAACTAAAATAAAATTATTATAAAGAGAGGCTACTAGTACATTTAGCAATTTTCAAACCAGTTCTAGTGTTAAAATGTAAGTATATTTATTCTGCATAACGCTGGACACATAGAAAAATTTTAATTGCCACTTAGTTGTTAGTATAATATTATAGGTAAAAAGGAGAATCCATATTATTTAGACAAGAGACCCCCAACCCAATCACCTAGAACTTAGTTCCATGTAAAACCGGGTAGCTTTTCCACATATTATTCAATAGAAAAACTAAACATAGAACAAAAATTTTGACACAAATTTGTCTAAATAATGCATCAGTTAAAAGGTTAAACAATGTACAGTTTCAAAAGGTATCAACAAGAAAAAATAACCTTTTATTGTCACACGCAGTAGCAATAACTCCAAATTCAGATGCATTATCAGCCAATTTTTTCCCTGGCAAAGGAATATAAATTATTGAAGTTAATTCTGATTATGAGTATTCTGTAGACAAGATAAAATAGTTAACAAATTTTTATTATTTTTCTTTACGCATTAATAAAATTGAACAATATAAGAAGTAGGTAAACAATGTTTTAAAGAAAGCAAATGTAAGAAAACTGTTGCGTTAATTGTAATTAAAAGTAATTTATCCTCAAAAGCACTCTGTCAAAGGTCATATCTACCTGCTGAAGAGGAGTGATATTGGACCTGTTTAAATTTCAAAATAAATATTTATTTTTGCAAAGATATACTAAGAAAAAGTTATAAGGCTTCATAACAGAATTCCAGACACATCAATAGAAAAGTTTCAAGAATATCAAGAACAGATTAGAGTTTAAAATGGCTATTCTAAGGAGAAAATTATTTTCATGCTAGAAAATAACCTATAATTAAAATTAAAAGAATTCATTTCTTTGATTGTACATGTGTTTGATATGTAAACAGACAAAGGCTATTTATACCAATTCAGAAATGTAATATAAATTACCATTGGTATGCTCCTAAAATTATCAAATATGTATTATTACTTAAAACATTTAGTTTCAAATATAAAACTAATAATAAAGCTGATATTACTGATTGTTGGCTTAAGCTGAGTTAAGAAAATTCAATTATGATATACATCTTGAAATAGCATTGTTTAAAAATAATATTAGGTCAAGGAAAAACTTTGAATTACAACATTACCATTTATGTGTACTTTAGTTGTCAAAACATAAGGACATAGTTTACTAAGAAGGGCAAAGGCAGAGTATACAGGTTTCTTTACAAATTCTACATGCTTTGGAGAAGTATTATTGATTTGAAATCTTGCCAGCAATGTTCTTTGAGTAAATTGATTTGGAAAATAACTCAAAAAAGCATTATCACTACTCATTAACGTTATGAATACTTCTGAGCTCTTTTGAATCAACCAATAAATGTGTTTGAGAGTGATCTAAATAAAGACATAAAATTAAGAGTAAAAGTATAAAGGTTACACAGGTAAAAGTATAATGAACACAAGCCAATAAGGATCACAGAAGAAATTTAATAATGAAAATAAAGAAATTATAGTATTTTGTTTAAAATAAAGAAATATGAAAAAAATAAGATCATCCATATCTTTCAAAAATTAAAATTATTAAGGTGATAAATTAGCAGACTAAAAAAAAATTCACTTATTAATACTGACATAACTTACATAAACATAGTATAATTTTTTGCATAGTTCTACTTCCAAATTTTTTTTTAGCAAAATATAATTTTTAATGCTATCTTTATTTTTCTTTTAAACAACTGTTTTTGTTACCAAATAAACTTTTTACTTTTGAATGCAAAATATGATAATAATAAAAATTTTACATGCTAAAAACTAAAATAAAAAAATTTGAATTGAATAATTAAAAAATGCGTTTTAAACACAACTTGCAGAAGCAGTTCTTTTACCATTGATTTCAATTAACAATTTACAAACAAATCTTGATTGACTTCAGTAACTTTTTCAACTAAAACTTCCCTTTTTATTAAAGATCAGCTTGATTAAATCGATGCATTTTTCTAAGTTTAGTTAAAATTGAAGTCTAAAATTGCAATGAATGAGAAACAAAAGTAGCTCAATAATAATTAGGGATTGCCCAATTATTCTATTGAATTTGAATGTACATTATAGAAGAAGTATTACACAAAAGAAACAACAATATTCTCTCATTAATATCATTTCTCATATTAATTTTTAAAGTTTGGAAAATAACTAAAGAATAACTACAAAATAAACTATCACTCATAGTTTATCAACTGTTTCAGATTTTTACATTATTATTATGACATTAAATGCTAAAATAATAAAATTTTTCTTTTGTTAAAAACAACAATATGAAGATATACTACAGCATAAAATTCTTTAATGATGAAACTATCAGAAAAAAGGATAACTTGTAGCACATTTTTATATATACCTTAACAACCATTGCTGCATAAGTTGTGTCAGCTCTCCACTCCTGCGGGAGAGCCCAGTTCTTCAAAGGGTCTGCCTCACTACAAAATATAAAGCAAGTCAGTTATTATAAACGTTAGTTGTAGCACGAATGAAAACAAATTAAAGAGAATATAATGATACAGTTATTTGGATGAAATGTATCTGATTTCAGCCACATAATAAGTTATAAATAGTAAAAAAAACTGAAGCTATTCTCAAAGAACTACAAGAAATGTTCTACATTTCTGTTGAAGGAACCACTCAAATGGTATCACATTCACGCATGCATGAGTAATTTCTCTTACACGTACTTTCTAAACATTCACCCATGCCTGATGGAAAGAAGTTAGAACGGTTTTTAACATAAGAATGTAATAAGTAAGCCGATAAATAATCAAGACAAAATCATGTTTAATTTTAAACTACTAAATTAATCATTATTGATAACATTTAAATAAGTTTTAATACTTAATGGTTTAACTGAAATTTTTAAAGTTCTTTTGTAAAAATAATAACAAGAAAAGAAATTAAACTAACAAATTGATAACTTTATATAAGGAAATTAAAGAAACATATTAAGGAAAGGAATCAAATAACTTGTGTTATTAGATACTGAAATTTTCTTCTTCTTACATGAGTGAAATGAATTCAGTTTAGATTATTCAAAATAGAAAAGTTAAATCCGATTTGATAACGAGGGAATAAAAACTATTCCTTAAATTGGAAGTATAATAAAAATATTTCAACATTTTGTATTTTTGATTCATATTTTACATCATATTTAAGCAAGTAAATGAAAAAAAAGTATATAAAAGTATAAGTAATATATGATATAATATTTAAAATTTTTTGAACTTAAATGAAATAGCAAATGTCAACTAATTATTAGTTGATTAATAACAATTTGACTTATAAATTGCAAACATTTCAACTACATAAAAAAAGTATATTATATGAGCTTTCATAAGTAAAAATTTAACATTTGTAAATGAAATGATCAAAAAATAATACTCAAAGATATATAATAACTTTTAACAAAAGTAATTTTTTTTCAAAAAAAAATTTCTTATTTCAATTGAACTACTCCATTTTTTACAATAAAGATAGATATAAAACAATAAAATGTTTTAGAAAAGTCTAGAGGCTCAGAAAAATAATTTAAAAATGGTTGTGAAAGAAATTTCTTTTGTTCAATTAAGTTTTACACACCGAAAAAAAAATTTTTTTTTGAAATTTTAAGAATAAAAATTTTGGATCACTAATCGTTGAGTAAGAAGGTATCTAAACTATTACAAACAAAATGCATTATGAAATATGCAACTTTTTTTATCGCGTCTTTAGTTGTACCTAAAGGATTCATTCCTTAAGATAAATGCTTTTGTAAGCAGTAAATGTTTCACTAATGCTTCATCCCAATAATGTTAGAAAAAACGACTGTAACAGCCGCCCCTTTGAGTTTGAGCACAAGCAGAAATTGCATGGTAAACAATGCAAAGATAGAGATACTTATTTTTAAAACAAATTATAACAATATAAGATAAATAAACAAAGAAATGAGTTTGCAAACAATTTAAGTATTTCCTTTAATGATTTATTATCAAATTTTTTTTTAAAAAAATAGCAATTTCTTTTCAAAATTGGAATAGTAATAAAAAAACTTTTACTTTTTATTATTTGTCACTTTAAATATGAAATATTATAATTCTTAGAGTATATATATTGTATTATGAAGACACTTTGAATTTGATTAAATTTATTAAAATATCCTTATTATTAAACTTTGAATAATTTAGAAGAGATCAATTAAACTTTCAGATAAGCTGCATTATTTAATCACAATGAATTTTTGTATGTTGTTCTAATTTCAAAACAGTGAATGTTTTAAAGCTGTTATCATATGCAAAATGAAATTGCAAATTATGTAAATTTACATAAAATTATAAATATTTTCAAAGTTTTATTAATAAAATAAATATAAAATACATTATTTTATTAGATTTTTTGTTACTTCAAATTAGATATAATTGAGAAATGGAAAATAAAGAGAAATAATAAATATAATTTGAAAACCAAAAATGCATCAGACAAATCATTGAATGTTCATCCATCAGTTAACCAATACATGATGAGTAAATTTTATAATTAAAACTATATTGACACTACATATTTGCATATCTTTTTAAAAGAGCATAGGAGCAAGCTTCTTTAAGAAAAATAAAAATTTATTTTGATTACAAATACTACTTTTCTTTTTTAAATTTAACATAACATCTATTTAGCATATTTTGCCATTTTAATGCTGAGCTCAAGCCACCTACAAACAGATGGACACTCACTTTCCTCTAATGTCCTGCTATTATAACGTGTCATAGGTGACCTCCTCTTAAAAAAAATAAATGCTAAAAATATTAATTAAAATTTATCAATAAAAATAAAAATATCAAATTAGTGATATTTTTAACAAAGAATATTGTAACTTCAATATTATCAGAAGTGTGGACATATAATTTAAAAACTAAAAAATAATGATAGAAAAAATAATTACTCATTGTAGAATGGCACATGTGATAAAGAAGGATATGTCTTTCTAATATAATGCATAGTCTCCAATTCTTCATCAAAAATGAAATCTGTACTGCCATTTCCCTGTAAAAACATTTACAACAGAAAATTACAATTTACTTTATTTTAAAGAACAGATATTAGAGTTACTAATTTTATTTCCTTCATTTTTTAAATTAAAACTTCTCCTTTAAAGTAAGATTTTGGATAAATAATTAAAAATAACTATACTCTGACTGCTTTAAAAAAAACATTTGTATTTAATAAAATATTTTTTCAAAAGACTTATACTCTATCTTGAACATAAAAAAAAAAAAGATTGGCATAGGAGGATATTCAACGCAAAAGCATTTATATGCATTCTCAACTCTCAACAGACTTTTATCACTAATACCACACAATGAATGAACTAAATTTGTGAACATTTTCATCTTTACTTTTGCGGAACTGGTTAGTGACAATATGAGACTTTTTTAAGACTGGTGTTCTGGGATGGCTTTCATTTCATGCCTTCCTCTTAAGGGGGAAGGTTGTATATCTTCTCTCTTCCCAGGTATTTTTAACCTACAGGCCATGCTGAGCAAAAAGAAAATGCCTTGCAGAAAACTGTTCCAATGGAGATGCTGAATACAGCTGATATACTTCATCATAATCAATCCTGAACTTCATATGAATGCCAAATTAAAATGAATGCTTTAACATATGAGTGAGATTAATGCAGCTAATAACTCATTTTAAAAAAAACTTTCGAAAGAAAAAAAAACTTCAAGTAAATCCAGAAACAAACATATTTTATTAATAATCATAATTATAATGATATTATTAACCAGCATTAATATTAAAGTATAGTATTACCTCATAATTTATTAGTTTACTTGAATTTTTTTTTAATTACTTATAATTTTAAATAATAAATTACTTCTTTTCAAATATTTAAATGTCTTAAGCTAACCAATTGTCATAATAAATAAAAGCTGAAATTCCAACAAAAAAATAAAAAATAAATAAAAAAATCTGCTCTAGATCTAAAACATGATTAATTTAAAGCAGAAAAATAACTATAAAATTCAAACAATAAAATCTGTATGCATCGAACACTGAAATAACTTGAACCATTACATGCAATGACACAGCTATTATAGAGATTTAGAAGGATAAAATAGCAGACAGTGCATCGACACTATATAAATGATTAACAAGCACTGAAAAGAACAATAATTAACAAGCACTAGGAATTTATTGCGGTTATATCTTGTAAAAATTATCTCAATAAGAAGTATTGTTTTACCATTACAGACCTTCTTGTGGAAAGATATAAAATCTAAGCGAACACCAATTTCTCCAGAAAAATAGTTTTTCCCATAACTACAATGAGCAAGTAAGGCCCAGCACAAAGGTGAATGTCCAACAGAAGGAATTCTACATGATCCACCAGGTCCTCCAAGACGAAGTCTTGGATTAGCCGCCTTTAAACCTTCCGAGCAAGCATCATAGTAGTTTAGGAATCCTATAAAAGTTATGTATTTTTAAACCGCAAGATGCTTTTAAATGCTCAAAATATAATAACGAGCAAACTCGTTTTCATTTTTCCTATTACGACTAAAATAAACTGTTGAATGCACATAAAATATAGGAATTTAACTAAGAATCAAAAAAGACAAATAAATATTGAAATTAACAGAATTTAAGTTCTGTTTGATTTCCTGAGGTCAATTGTGAAGAAATTTTTAATATATTTTTAACCACTTTCAGAACATGTATTTTAAAATGGTAAGTTACAGTAGATTATTTAATCATACCAAATTTAACTTTAATCAGTTGATTTTGGGTTTCTCACTAGCAACTTGAACTTTAATTACCATAGACAACACACATATACAATAAAAGGTAAAACATGAATACTGAACAGGCTAAATGATCATCTATACATTATTTCTATATTATTATTTTCTTTATAGATATAAAGTAAATAATATTGGTAAAAATGCATGATCATAAAATTGATAAACTTTACTGTTTTATAATTTTTTTATGAATAGGCATTCTCTTGTTTTCATTTCAAAGTTCGGGTGTTTAAAAATTTGAAGCAATAAGAAATGTTAAGAATGCTACCATTTGTACGTATCTTCAATCAAGATGTTTCTTAGTAAATGCAAAATCTGAATATGTATTATTAACACAGTAGAATATAAGGATGTGTTAACATATGGATGCAAACCTTTAGAGATTCACAGTCCAGTTGCTATCTTCATTTCTTTTCCTTTTCATTTCTCTATTAATTTAAAATATTTTTTAACTGAAAAAAATATATTACCTTGAATATTTTATGCCCTTTTATATTAAAATTTATATTGATTCCATAAATAAAATAAAACAAGAAATGTATAATAATAACTAATTTACATTAATGCAACTAATTGTGTTCAGCTAAATAATGACATTAATGTAAATAATGCTGAAGTATGACATTTTTATCTATACTGATAATTAAGGGAGGAACAAACTTTTACACACACTACTAAAATAATGTTTAGATAATTAAATGCTTATTTACAAATTAAGTTGAATTGTATAGTAATAAATAAGCATATTTAAAATTTTTAAATTATTATAGATATGTTTTTTTTAATCATTCACTTCTATCATGTTGAATCTTTATTCAAAAATTATGAAAAATTAAAATATATTTTGCGAAATGCTTTTTTATGGGTTTAGTTACTTTTAGTTTGAGGCTTAAAATGTTATTCACGCTTTTGTTTTAAATAAATAAATAAAAAGAACTGGTTTAAAACAAAAATCTTAGTTTTGTTTTTTGAATAAAGCATTTTTTTTAAAAAAAAAAAAAAATATTTTTGTCTTCATTTTGTAAGACATTTGATTTTTGGAATTAGCGCAAATTTTTAATCTACCTGAAAGACATTCTTTTTTAAGAGCGATATTGTAGTAAAGTATTTTTATAGACATATTGCACAACATTACTAAATGAAAGGCTAAGAAAAGTAATGTTTAAAAATAATATAAAAATTTTAAAATTTTTTCAATTGTAATCTGTACTTACAGATAGTAAAGTATAAATTTTTCATTTATAGCTATTGTTAGCATAATGGTGGTAATAATTGATCAAATAATATCATTAGATGTTTTAACTTGCCTTGAGTGGTGAAATTCAAATTATCAAAATCTTTATGATCAGGTTCATTCCAAGTTTCAAAATTCCATTGAACCACATATTTAATTCCAAAGAGACCTATAATATAATATAATATAAAATAAGGTGATTCATGTTACTGTTTTGAACAAATTAGAAAAAGGTACCATGTGACTAAATCATAAATTTTTTTTATTGGTATTTTAAGAAATTTTATGAACCGAAGTTAAAATTTTAAACGTGTATTGCATGAAACTCTAATTCAATTTCTACCAATTTCAAATTTCGACCAAATGTGATCTTCAGTATAACTTAAATATCAACAGGTTGGATTTCTAAATTATCACTTTTTCATGCATGCAATATAAATTTTTTTTAGATAAAATTATATTTTCCCCCCATTTCAAATGGAACAAAGCAAGTTTTGAGTCATTTTAAAAGAAAACAATAGGTCAAGTTCAAATGAGGATTGATAAATAGCTTATCAACTGTGTTTTGAAACAGCTCTGACTTGTAAAAAAATCAATAACATTTAAAACAAAATTGGAAATTATAAATTAAAAATCAACCTTCATTCTATTTAGAAATTGTTGTAATTTATAACTATTGAGCAAATGGCAAAATGTTGGCATACTTTCTAGATATCAATAATAATTAAGGAGTTGTGATTACAGTTAGAAAGTTGTTGAAAAGATATGATCAGTTAAATGAAACGAAAACAAATTTTGCTGAGAGGAATAAATGATAAATATTACTTAAGTGGAAGATAGATGAAGTTTGAAAGAAGTGTTACCAGCCAGGTTTTGTATTGGTAAAAATCTTTAAAGTTTTCAGTAAAAAATCTACTCATTATGGACCTTGTTAAGTATTTTTTTTATTGTTAAATTGGATTGATTTACTTTTCAACTGTCAAGCTTATTTTTTTTAAATTTGTAGCTATCTAAATACTGGTGCTGGTGATTTTTCACATCAAATGGAATAGAACATATTTTTATTCATAAAAAGGAAAGTTCAATTATTACTACTTACTTTTGCATCGCTTTTTAATATTTTATCAGTGAAATATTAAAAACTTTTATTTCATACATTCCTAAGTTAAATAAATGTAATTTAACCAATAACATAATGTTATTGCATGCATTAGCATCAATTACTATTTATTTATTTATTGCATTGAATAATACAAGTTTGACCTTTGTTTAAATTAAAAACTATTATCCATACAGAAAGAGTCCTAACGATTCCAGATATGCCTCTTTTCAAAGTAATTTTAGAACGAGACTGGCTTTTTACAAAAAATAAACAGTGTCCAACCTTTTAATTTTCTAAATTTGTAGAATTTACAAAAATTAATCATAAAAACAATTTAGTTAGAAGTACTAAATTTTCTTTGACATAAAATATATTTAAGAATTCCATAAAATAAATGGCAATTTTTAACTTACATGTCCCTAAAAATAATAACATAAATGAGACACTAGAAATAAAATGAAATATAATACATCGCTATTTTAGTATCTTTCTTTTTTAAAGAAAAATATTATCTATATTTGCTATTATCTATAGAAAAATCGAACTAAAATGCCTGTTACAGTTTTCTAAATATAAAATTAAAAGATAATATTTCAAATTTGTAAAGATTGACAAATACGTAACTTGTGCAGTTTAATTATTTATATCCTAAATACTATCAATGAAAAGAAATAGTTTTAAGACTAATTTTAAAAAACAATTGAATAAAAAGCTACGATACAAACACTTTTGTTTTGTAAAATATAGACTAATACTTTAAGTAATATTTTGTTGCACACAGTTTTCAAGATTTGGAGCACACTTTAAGATTACTTCATATCCAGATTAGTGGTTTATTTGTAAAACCAGGAAACTTATAACTTGGTTCAAATTTGATATTCACACAGCCAAACTCAACTTTTATGGACAAATACAAATAGACAAGGATACTAATTAGGCTAGGATACATATAATAAAATAGGACCTCATTAAATTTGTTTTTCTCATAAACTTGACAAGTACACACAACCAAGCACACATGCATGCGCACACACATATCATAACAACAAATAAAATAAAACAATTTGGAAAATGTAGTCACTTTTGAAAAAGACCATGCGGGTGACCTTACAATACAACCAATGTTTTAAACTTACCAATGTAATGTTCAGCTAAACTTTGAATCATGTCTTTCCACAAATATACCTGGGTTTGGTTTTCAAAATCAGTAAAATAATTTGAAGGATTACCCATCAATTCAAAGCCTGGTTGAAGGCCATTTTCCCAAAGTGAAAGGATTAAATCATCCAGATACTTAAAATCAAAACTGACCACAAAATTTGGAAGAATTCTATACAAACAGATCATAAATTCAAAATATAAATTAGCCTAGTAATCATCAAAAAATTTTTAAAAAAATAATAACAAATGCAATTAACACTAAGACTCAAATAATTTTAACAGTGGAGACATTCCTTTAACCTTCAAGCAGGCGCACCTGAGCGAATTTTATGACAAAATCGGTTTTTCATGGATTTTTTCGCATATCACAGCTGAGACTTCAACAGGTCATTTCTATTCCTCCTTTCAACCCTTCCTTCCTCAAATAATGGAATGTGCCAATAGAAAGTCAAGTGACAATTTTATTTCTAAACAAGGTTTCGTACTATGTGGTTGTTTGTCTGAAAATTTATGACACGTGCGTGGTTGTGGGAGAAAATTTGAAAAATATTTTTTTCACAAGTGTTATATAATTTTGTGTTCATAAATGACAGGCATTATTTTAATTTGCATAAAATCGAATCTATAATTTTTATATTGGGTTTTCATGGCAAAAAATACCTACAATCAGGGGATTTTTCCCCACTTTCTATGAGAATTGTCTCACGAAGAAAAAGTAAAAAAAATATTTGGATTTGAGATTGTTAGCGATTAGAATGAAGAAGATATAGAAATAAATAATATCAGTAGTGAATCTGAATAACATATTTTGGGCAATTATAATGATAATAATTCAGCAAAAAAAAAAGATGACACGCCCCATATTAGCAAGGATAAATCTTCCAAGTGGTGAAAACTGAAGTATACAGACTGCTCAAAAACAAAAAAGAGGAATATTGTAAAAGTATCACCGGGCCTAAAGCACCATGACAAGGATGAAATAGAATCATTTCTAAAAATAATCGACATAAATATGATTGATAAAATTTTGAATTGTACAAATGAATGCATAAGTTTGCTAAAATGATACTCAAGAGATATAGACTACTGTTACCTCGAAAGTGGAAATGATGGCATACTTTGGATTGTTATACATGATAAGATTATTTCTTGACAAAATTATTATTAATAATCATTCATTTTTGTCGTTTTCCATGCAAAAAACGGAAAATAACAGCTGTCATAAAAAATATGATGTGCATGCTGAGGTAAAATTACTGAGCACGCATGCTGGAAGGTTAAAGATACTTCAATAATTGCATAACAATAACATATAAACAATTCTTGTTCATTCTGATACTATTGACATTAAGTCAAAAGGATTGTCTAAATACAATGTAAAGAAAATTTTCTTTATTATTTGTGGTCTGGAACTCTCTTTAAATACAGTAATTCAAACTTAGAGAAAATTTGTATTGCTAATGATTAATAATGAAAGTGTGTGGTATCTAATAATTTCTAAACAATCTTTTAACTATAAAATATTAAGATTCTTCGGATACTACCAGTCTTTTCTTAAAAGGTCACTGGGGCTTTTAGTGTCCCCACCAGGATTTAGACTAGGCAAGCCAGAGACTTTAAAAAATCCGATCAGGCAAGTAAATATTAAATTTTTATTGTAAAATAAATGAAATGAAGTTTTTTTTTTATTCTTCTAGTTACGCTTATTAAATGTTGAATACAAATGTTAAGATTACAGTGAAAAATATATATGACCACCATGTAACTTTTAACTTAACATCTGCTGGCAATTTTTCATAAAATTTCACAATCTTAGCTGCTAATTTTTTTTATGTAAAGTTTGTTTAAAATTTGTCCCAACCTAATATTCTAATTTCTTTTTGCAGCTTCATTTGGTGTTTCTGTAAGGTTAAGAGAAATATGCAACAGTGTAGAGTAAAAAAATGAGAATCACAAATTTGTAGAAACGCCAATATGTAGAAAATTTTTTTTCTTCAAACCGTCTTTATAATACAAAATTTTAGACAAATAAGATTATATTTTTAGCTGCCTAAATATCCTTAGATTTCAAAAATTTTGTCTAATTTGACAAAAACAAGACTGATAACTTTTGATTTATATTAAAAAACCGCTTAAATTCAATTGCTTAAGAAGGAAATAAGAATAATTTAATACGAAGATGACTTTCACAACAGGCTTCATTTTCAAGTGGGTACTAGCACACTGCACTGATGCTTTTTCTTTAGCTGCTGCCTGTACCAACTGTGTTATTTTTTAAATTAGATTCAAGCGATTTTCAGAATTATTATTAATACATATTACATTTTCTTTTCAGTGCAAGGTTTTTTTTTACTTATTTATATTTAATCATTTTTGTGCAGCCTATTTTTATTTATCATGTGAGATATAGAGCATTCCAACATGCCTCAAACTAGATCATTAGACTTTTACCCAATGTTTCTGCTCTTGGTATCTCTCACAATAATACACTCTCAATATATGTTGCAGAGGTGGAATATTATTTATGTATGAAGTGTTAGGTGCAATACGATGATAAGCCACACTTATCAAATCATTTTCCAGGAATGATTTTCTGGGGAAAATACATTAATTAAAAAGATGACAAAAAGCTGCTTATTTGTGTTGTGCTGTTATTAAATGGAAATTCTAGTATATTGATAAGCACTTATCGGGAAAGGGACAGTATAATGCAAAAATACAAATGAAATAAAAAGTTTGGCGAATTACCATATTTCTCAATGGCAAAGAAACCTTAAAAACAAACAAAAACCTCCTTTAATGTTTGTCAACCCTTAGTAAAAGTTCTCAAGTGCGTATGGATAAAATTTGTACCAGACCAATAAATATTACAAAAAGTAAGAGTTTAGCATAAAAATATTGAACTATTCAGAAACATTTGAAAAAAGAATATAAAGAGAATTCTTTTTTTCAAAAATGAATCATTTAAAGAATCAGCAGAAGAAAAAATTTTTGATGCTTCATAATGAAAATACAAAGACTTTCTAAACTGTATTTGAAAAACTAAAAGAATTAGCTTTAAAGAGTTTTCTTTCTAAAAAGATCAAAGAAGGTTTGGTAATTGGAAATATCACCCTTCTATAAAAGAGATTTAGCACCACATTGAGATCAAACTAGGTTCGAGGACTGAAATTTCTATGGTGGAATCAAAAGACATACTTGGTTCAAGTACCGGAGTTTCTGTGTACCTGTCTAACACATAAATTTCTATATCAAACCTGAACTGTAACGAACTGAACTGAAATAGATATATATACTTGTAGCGTGTCTACCATTACATTATTCAATTCCAATTCACTTGTATGTAAGATATGTGTAAATGATTCTATTTGGGGGTTCCTTTTCATGGAAGAAGGTTGACATAATCAATAACATTCTCCCCACATTGGTGATCCGGAGGTGATTGCAGAAGGAAGACAATGTTGCAGTCGTAAATAGCAAGTTAACTGCCCAATGTGGACTATCCATAAAACTAGGCGTTACTCTCAAAGAAGGCATGGTCAGATCACATCCGAAAGTCACCAATGTAGGGAGAGTGTTATCGACTATGTCAACCTTCATTTATGAAAAGGTACATGTCTTATATAATAGTGAATTGGAATTAAATAGTTGTAATGGTAGACACGCTACAATAGGATTTCCAAAATTTGTTCTTTCACCTATTCATCTTTTATGTTTGATATCTGACATTCAGTATGATGTTGATTAGTTGATTACGTTTTATTAAAGTTCTATGTCATTTAAGTTTTATTAAGGTTAAATTTAAAATTTTTCACTTCTACTTTTTATCTTTGATGATTGATAAATTTCTAGCGCTGACAAAATACATGCCACCTTTTCTCACCAAAACAACATGCATTGCACTTAGATAAGAAATTTACAAGATTCTTAAGAATTGTCTGAATAGATTAGTTACACCAAAAGCCAAACAGCTGACTTTCTATTGAATTTATTAAATTTTTCTTTTCACCTGTTAGAAAAAAAAAATAAGAACAAATAATCATTTTCGATATCTTATTTAAAATCATCTATATACAGAACTATCAAAGCATCATTGAATACGTATAAATAATCAACTCTGATATCATTTTTTAAAACAGTATGCCTATTACATTTTTTTTTCTATTTAGAAACAAAACAGAAACATAGGTTATGGTAAAAATGAGATTATATTCAATTGAAATTAAACATCAACAAGAAAGAATTATTAACGAAAATTTATTTTACCTGAAATATTTTGTCACGTTACGGATTTTAAAGAAATAGTTTTCTGTACCTATTTTAGAGGGATTTTGAGTAAGGGGATTTTTTTAAGAATTCAGTTTTTGGTACATAATTCCTTTAAATTAAAAATTTATTTTATGCAAATGAAGAGAATACATCAGCTAGTAAAAATTAACAATTTTTTATAGAAATAAATTGTGAAAAATATAAAATATTTAATAAACTAATTATACAAAAAATTTATTACTTGAGTTTGATTAGATCCAACAACCAATGAATACGGACTTGAATAATACCATGTTGAGGAAGTGAACCAATGTGGAAGAAATTTTGCTTCATGTCTGGTGCCAATAAAAATGCATGGGCATTTTGATGAGGATCTGGGGGACTATGAAAATTTGATTTTAATATTTTCAAACAAATAATAATGAAAACAAATAAAACTTTGAATGTACAGAAATGGGCATTAATATAGTTTTGGTTCGGTAAACAAGAACCCTCCTCAATGTCCAAACATCAAATGATGGTAAAAAAGTAAAGAGGCAAACTGTTTTTCAGCAAAGTGGTTTAACCAACAGGGACAGAAGAACAAGTTTGAAGAAGATAATAAGAGAAAGGGAGATAAGAAATGGGTGAGTGGGGATAATTAGGATTTTTCAAAATTTGGAATGACTCCCGAAAAATTCAAGCTCATGATTAAAGTTCTCGTTCCTGTAACTAAAACTATAGTATCTCTATTTCTGTATTTTCATTTGTCTTATATTCAAGTTTTTATTATTAATCTTATTTATTTATTTTTCACTTTAGTTTACATAGCACTGAATATACCTGAACTTTGCTGCATTTTTAAATTAAGAGAAAAATCCCAGCCTATAAACTTTAAAATAAGTCATTATTTGAAAATTTTTGCAATATGGTAAGGAATATGCATAAATGTTTTTTTTTTTTTTTTTGTCATGTTGCAAAAATAAAACTGCATTATTCTTTTCATGTAATTATTAATTATGAATAACTAAATATTTGTTGACAAAGTATAAAGCCATTCATAAAATGGTCTGTTACCAAATGGAAAAACAGAGGCTTAGTTGTTAGTAAGTTCAGTAAAGCGTTAATTTGTTTGCTTAATGCATTTTTACTGAAGAGCTTTTGATTTAGTTTGGAAACAAGCACTCAGACACATCAGAAAGAAATATAAGATTTTTAAACTAGGAAGCTCACAAAAACTATACAATATTTTATGAAGAACAAGTTCAAAAAACTTATTTTTAACTGAGCGACAAACATGGGTCTTGTTTTTCAGCTTAGTGGATAAGTACGTTGATTGCAGCTTCCTACTTCTTTATTTAACTAATTCAGAATTTACAATACTTTCACCTGTTGTTGTTTTTAGCACAAAAACCAATTATTCAGCAAGCTATTCAATGAGCAAATACTGTATTAAGGACATATTTATTCATATACTCGTCCTAATGCAATGTAAAATGCTCAATTATTTTTATTTTATAACCGTCGTTGAACAGCCGATCCAATTTTGGGTTTACGACTACTAATGTTCAACTCCATAGCCTTGCAATTTTTTTGCACTTTTGGTGCAAATTTTCAGTGTTGCTTTCGATTTTGCAACCCAATTAAGTTTGAAGTTCACTTGCATTATGGTAATTTTTTAACACAAAACATGCATTTCATAAATAACAGCAGATCTATAACAAATATTAATCATTAGACAATTGTTATGTTACGTGCCTGCACCCGCTGCAGAAAACGGGTAACAATAAAATTAAAGTAATCAAAACAATATATATATACATATTAAAAATATAGAGAAACATAATGGGAAAAAAATATAATGAAGATTAATAAAAAGAGAAGAAGAAAAATTATTAAAATATATTTTTTTTAAATAATTTAAAAAAAATTATTAGAGTTAATTTTTTCTAAAAATATTTTTAAAAAGTTATTAAAAAAATTAAAAAGCCTGTAAATAAAATAATGGAAAGATATAATCATCTCATCAGCTCACATGATTATATCCACAATAAAGAGTGTTTTCTAATATTGTATTGACATAGCCAAAGCAAAATATAACAATACAATAGTGTGAGGAGCACCCAAAATATTGAAATGAAAAGGGAACATATTAAGTAAAAATATACCAAATAAAACAAATCAAGCAAAAATAGAAAAATACAGAATAAAATACAAAATATAATCTATAAAATGAGTAGCGAAATCAAATGAACTGACATCTTTCAAAAATGATTTACAATATCTTCATAACAAGTTTGCCAGATTACAAAATATGAAAATAGATGCATAAATGGAGGGATATTTTTACGGCCCCTTCTTACTGCATTACTGGAGCGTGTTTGATTTGTTAGTTACCTTGGATTGGCCCGAAAATGGATATGCGTAAGGAAATAACATACAGGATAATTTAAAGTTTATAATTGAAAGTTTGATTTTTGATTATACAATTTTAATGATTTTAACAAAATTATTAGCATTTATTAAAAAAATATGATTTGCCTGGTTTTCATAGATTTTTAGCCACAGGTTTGTCTGAATTGGATTTGCATATGGCAAAAATATAAACTTAGTTAAAGAAATTTTTAGTTAATTTATTAATAATAATAACATACAATTAACTCAATAATTTTATATAGAACTTATAAACATTATTTGGGTATCCATTGTTTTTTTTAACATATTTTGAAAGAGTTAGTTGATTTGTTTTGTTGATAAACATTACTACAGATTCTTTTAAGTTTGATTTTCATTTGATTTAAAATGATATTGCAATAAATGTTTTTAGAAACATAAGAATTCCAAGTAATTAGTTTATTTATACTAAAATTAAAATAATTTCTTTTTTCAACAATTCAGATATTTTCTTCTTTTTTAATACCTAAATCCAAAAAATTAAAATTAATCTTATCATCATAATTACGAAGCAAGATTAAACCCTCGGGGTAAATATTATTTAACAAAATTGTATAATCTTGAAAATTAAAGATAATTAAATCATCAATAAATCTTAAAACAAATTTAATATTAAGAGCATATTTTTTTTCATAGTAGTGTAAAAATAAACTAACTAAGAGAGATGAAAAATTAGATCTTTGTGGGATTCCATCAATTTGAATAAATATATTAATGAAAATATTAATAAAATAAAATATAATAATAAATAATAATAATAAAATAAAACTTATTATTACTTTACTTAATTTTTTTCATTACTCTCTCTTTTCTTTTTATCCTTTTAGTCTCCATTGTGTTATAGTGTANGCCCGTCGCTAACCGATTCGAGAGAGAGGGAGGGGGGTGTTGAAGTTTATTTTGCCAACCGTCATATATATATATATATATATATATACACACATAATATTACCACTGATGGAAAACATATCTATATTTCAATAGAGAATAAATTTAAACTTTTTCAATTTAGCACTTACCATAACCCAGTACTTTTCCAAAAAAGTGTTTCTTTGTTTAATAGAAGGTCTTCAATAACAAACACTTCAAAATGCTCAGCACTAGAGATTTTTTCATTCTCATAATATATTTTAGGCTTTAAAATCTAGATAAAAAAATAAATAAATAATACAATTATTAGCGATAGCAATGAAGACTGAATCTAATATCACCCTCTTAACAATACACACATAAAGACCCACAAATCTGAACAAAATTGAATTCTTTAACATCTTGAAGGTGAATTGGGAAACTTTTTTAAGTTGCTATAGCTAATGAAGTATTTGTCCCATTTTAGAAGAATAAAAATGATGGCTATATAATTTGAAAGTTAACATTTTTTTTTATAATAAGAAATCTAAAAATTCATACATCAGGGTTTGAGAAATTTAAAAAAATGTAACACAACTGTCAGGACATGTAAAGATTTTTATATTTACATTGATTGTTATGAATTTTATATTTAAGTATAAGAAACAATTCATAATTAGTGTCAAATTATCAATGTTAATTTTGATTTGTTGTTATGATTGTAAGTGTACAAAGTATACAAGACCAAATACATGCCTGAACATCTATTTTGATTGCTTATAATTGAAAACTTATGAATGATCGTATAATTAATTACTTTTTTATTCTTAATGATTAATTTTTATGCTTAATGATTACATATATTTTTTAAATAACCATGACTAGGGAGATAAAGAAAGTATAAGCTTACTTTATCAACTGAATTCTTAAATATTTAATTAAATTTGATAATATTTAGGTCTTGCATCAAGTATAATCATTTTCTCCCTCTTCTATGCTATTTTTTGCCCAATCTGACATTATAACAATTTTATCAAAATATGGAAGGCACTTTTTTCTGACTTAATAAATGCGTTACTAGGTATGCAAGGATAAAAAATACTGGCCTGGTTGGAATTTTTACATGGCCAGGAATGTTGAGTAATAATATTTTTAAGCCGTAGTATACACATATTATTCTATTTCTGAAGAGAATTTTAAAATACATTAAGATCGATAATAATGGGTAATGCAAGCATTCCAAATTTTAGAGGAATAAAATCTAAATTCGCTGCAACAATTCGCTTCCAAAAACTTTACACATTAAAAAAAAATAATAATAATACTTTAATTTGTTAAGAATGTGCAGAAAGATGCTTTTTAAATTTCTAAACCTTTTTTTTAATTAAGCTGAAATTAAATTAATGATTCATTAAAGTTTTTTTCCTTTTGTATAAAATAATAATTAAATGAGACATAAAACCAATCTTTATCCGTTCATTATAATATGTAAAAAATTTAAACGCAGTATACTTCAACTTCAAATTTAGAATATATAGATTCATGAGTGAGTGAAATTCTCTTATTATACTAAATCATTAAAATTTGAATTGAAGTACGAAATATTTGGATGACTGGTATTTCCATTAAACATACTGAATTTCAATAAAACAAACTTAATGTATAAAGATAAATGTAGTATTATTCATATAAGGTTAAATAATATTCAGGTTTTTTTTCCGTATCAGTACTTGTTCAGGACAAGAACAATTGCCAAGGAGACAAAAGATTTTTAAATTTGCAAAAATTAAAATATATATATTGAGATAAAGAGAAGGGTTTCCCCATAGGGGGATATTACTATATCATGATCTGATCTATCACATCAACTACAATTCTCAAGAAGCCAAATGTATTTTTAAAGCTGAATTTTTTTTTTTTTATTAAAGCATGTAGAGGTTTGTTTAGAGGTGGCTATGAGTTTAATCAGGAACTCTTCGGTCTTTATTTTTTTATTTCTTTTTTAGTTTCTCACAAGCCACTGCCTGGAAGTTGCCAATACTTGGTGATAATTTTGCTGCAGATCATGATACAGGAATCTTCTTTTACCTGCCATATTACATAAGGATATAATTTTTTTTTATGACTCTGGTCAAATATAAATCTAAATAATTTCTAGATATTTAGTAATTAGAGATTCAAAGAATATTCGGTAAGATTTAAGTATCATACCCATGCCAAAATAAATGCCAAGTTTCTGCAACCTCGAGGCAGTGGCAAGAAAGGAACTTAAAAATAAAATCACAGAAAACCTAAATCCAAAATATTAAAACTAATCTTATCATCATAATTACGAAGCAAGATTAAATCCTCGGGGTAAATATTATTTAACAAAATTGTATAATCTTGAAAATTAAAGATAATTTAATCTTAAAACATATTTAATATTAAGAGCATAGGATCAATTTGAATGGTATATCTTCTATCCACCCTATGGGGTGGGGAAGTAAAGCACTAAAGAAAGTACAAGCAAAAATTAATTTAAAAAGTACGTTAAAGTACGTAAATTAAGTTTAAAGTCATTTAATAATATAGATAAAAGTGTAATTAACTAAAATGGTAGTGGTATTTATAAAGAATACAGTAATTTTATGAAGTATCGAACAGTATTGGCAAATAATATATATCAAAATCATAAGTTTTTTATAGGTTTATATATAGAATTAAGTTTATATATGAGAATTATATATGAGAGTTTATATATGAGAATTAAGTTAAAGGATTCAAAAAAAAAAAATTATAAATTGAAGCTTCTTGCCACTGTTAACTTTTAAGAGACATAACAGGTTTTAAAATTATTAATTATGTTGTTGTAAAATATACCTCAATTTTATTTGAGTTTGAATCTTTATAATGTAAACAATCAGTTTTTAAAATATTAAGAAATATAGTTAAGATTATAAACTTTAAAGAACAAATACACATATTAAAGGATTGTCACTTTGGTCTCAGCTGCTGCTTGTTGTTATTGTTGATATTGATAAATTGATTGCATCATTGGTTGATTTGTTGAGTGCAAAGAAGAATGCTGAAAGAGGCACCACTTTGGGTTTGAAAACATATGTTAGTTTGAAATGATAAGGACTACGTCAAATGATGCTGCCATCTAGTAAGATATATGGGACATAAAAGTTTCTCGGTTTTTCCTTCACAGAGTGTCGGAAATAAAATTTCCTTTTTATGTGACTCACCCGTCGTTAAAATATTTTCACATTTTGAATGTAGCTTTGTAATGATCCTTCTTTATTGTGGCTTATTAAATTTAAAAAAGAAAATTTTTTGATATTCTTTCTTACGCAAGCGAATACAAAATGGAATCGCTATTTTTAGAGACGGAAGGTTCAAAACACATCGGAAAAATATTTGCAAATAAGCAGGAAAAAAAATATGCATCTAATTTTTGTTGAAACCTAATGTCTCCGAAATCACTCTATTAAATTTAATGATCTAATATGAAAGGTCTATTTAAACTTTATATTCTATTCTTTGGGGATAGCCATCCAATAAGGTGAGCCGGGTTCGAATCCCAGCAATGGCTGGTCGATACAATTTCCTGCATCCGGCTTGCCGTGGAGGTCCTCGTGGTCTTCTTCTTCATGTAACGCAAGGGCAGGTTAGTTCCATCAAGAAGTCCTCCACGAACGCAAATTTCTTCCGATACTTGAGTCTCGCAGTGGACTGATCATTAAGACACGGTTAATAGTGTGATGTAAATGTATACAAACGTAATTTTCTCCTAAAATTAAAATAATTTTTAATATGAAAAACTGAATACAATTTAAATTTTAATAATTCCATTTTTAACTTAAAAAATAATTAAAATTCGCTAAATAGTCAAAGTTCCTAGTCATTACAAGTTTAAAAATTGATATTTTTCTTCAATTGATTAGGACAGATTTTTGCCAAAATTAAAAATTTTAAAATCTAATGAGTTAAATAAAGTTTTACTTCTAAATTTTCATAACAAAAAGAAAACCTAGAATGGATTTTTTTTCTTCATTTTATTAAATTAAAAATAAAGCAGTACAGATGTTTTTGCGAAGTTTAAATGTATCATAGGTACTAAATTATAAACGAATAAATATATTTCATTTAAAAATATTCTTATAATTTGTTTAGCAAAATTTTAAAAAAAGTATATATTAAAATATATAATTTAAAAAATTTAAAATAAAAAAATACTATACAAATGCAAAATAAGTGTTTAGTAGATGATTTACAAGTTTATAATGCTTCAAAAAATAAAGTGCTGGTGTAAAAAGTGCTAGTGTATAAAGAATGGTATTTTCTGTACTAGGGTGCACTGCAAACTTTTTACTGACTATACTTCCAGATTACTGTTTCCGGTGTATTTTGAAGCCATTTAGCTCACAACGTGATCATTGTGCTTTGAAACTCTCGTGATATTTATTATTTGTGTTAGAAAGAATCGTTATAAGACTCGTCGATTGACGACTTAACATTTCAAGACGTAAGAGCTGTCATTTGCAAAAAAATAATAATAATAATAATAATAATAATAATAAATGTTATTATATAAATTACTTCTTACCTTGTCAACAATGTACCAACTTCGAAATTTAAGCCTAAATGATAGTTCTTAAAATGAACTTAATCTTCCTGCTCAAACAATATGCAAACACATGCGACGAACAATATGCAAAACGATGGTGCACGGTTTGCAACAAGAACAAACAGAAATAAATAAGTAAAAAGAGGCCAAATCTGGCTTGCCAAAAAAGCGAGTTCTTTCTAAATCTAGCAACTATGTCACCTTTTTCAAAAATTTATATTTTCACCTTAAACCATGGGTCGCCAAACTTTTTTGATCATCGACCCCTATATAATTTTTCGAAATCTCCATCGACCCCCATGAAAGTAATTTTCTGTTAATTAAAATAAAACTCTATTAGATACTGTGTTTGTACATTTATTTTATGATTTTAAACATTTATTAAGGTAATAGTACATTGTGTAACAATAGTTTTATGAAAAATATACTAATGTTGAAATTTAAATACCTTAATATTTATTAAATAATAAGTAATTAAAAATATGCAGAAATAATAAGTAAAGTAACTACAGATTTATTGCTTCTTAATTAATGAGATGTGTGTGCCTGGTGCTCTTTTGCAAGATTCGCTATATTGGGTTCAAAATTGGTCAATTTTAATCTTAAATCCCCTCGAAACTCCACATTTAATTTATTTCTGTACTTAGTGAAGATTGAATTTACGTTACTGAAACCGGCTTCAACCATATAGGAACTTGGAAATGCTAGCATTTCCAAGCTGAGCTATTTCGTAAAGTTTGACATATTTTTGCATCATATTTATATTTGTCTAAAATTTGCTCATTGTTAAATTTTTAAAAAGCGTCTTTGCTTCAAGATCCGATAATAATTTAACAAGCTCATCTTGCAGTTTCGTCGTTAGCTGTACTAATCCATATTATTAATGCTTACCTTCTTTTTTTCATGTATTGATGATTGAAATTGATATCTAAACTAAACGAATGGTTTTATCGAAACACTAACTAATTGTCCAAAACTATAAAAATTTTAATAATGACACTGCAAATATTTAACACTGTTCACAGTTGAAAGTGCGTATGATATTTGTGTTTGTAACGGCAATGCTCGTCACACGTGACATTTGGACAAGCCCACATATACACATGACTTATAAACCAGAAGTGCAGAGTTCGTGCCACTGCGAGCTGGTGCGTAAGTATTTGTTTCACCCGATTAAATATGCGTTTATTAATTTATATGTTCTATAAAGAAACTGATATTAAGTCAATTATGAAAAATTCACAAATTTTACATACTGAATTAGGTATGTGTGATTTGCGTATTAAGAACTGTTTTTTCTTTGATCCCCAATCGACAATTTCGATTCGGATCGACCCCCATTCGACCCCCGCTTTTGTTAAATAGACCCCTGGGAGTCCATTTAATTTGAACGAAATCGGTCGAATAGTTATAAAAAAACAGATTTTAAATAACAGACTTTTTAAAGTCTGATTTTTAGGGAACCATTGAAACAATTTCGTCCAAAATTTGTATTTTAACATTTGAAGTTTTTTTTTTTTAAATGATTTAAGAATTTGTACACTACTATTAAATAAAATAATAAATATTTATTGAAAAAAACTTTTCTCGTGGTATTATCTTCAAATAAAGAAATTTTGTAACTGTGTGAAAAAACTTTCAATTCGCTTAAAAAGTTTTTGAGTTACGTTAAAATGCTCCAAAATAAAAAGTAAAATTTAGGGTTCCAAACCTCGGACAACTCTCCTGATTAAACTATTGTGGCCACATTTGCCAGATTGTGACTATTTCCTGTATTTTGAGGAAAAGAAATACAAATATATCGGGCAAAAACCTATATTTATTCAGAGAAAGTACGTTTCTGTATCTGATTTCGTAACTTAAAATGCCATCAGCATATTTGAGGTTACACTTTCAACTGACTCCTTTCACGTGAAAATACGACCATTAGATCAAAAGTTATCCAGGGTGTTCCGTTTATTTTTGTCCGCACTTTACAAGTTATTTGTCCACACCGAATATAACTCAATATCTTTATATATATTTCATGTAAATCAAGATATTCTTAAATTACCGTGCATAATGGTATATTGCAATGTATGAAAGTTATGAAAGTCTAAAAGAGGAAAAACTACTTATTTTTTATTGCACACATATATGAACATATAAAATCATGGATATAAAAATATGAATTAAACATACAAAAAACAAAAAATAATTATACATATAAAAATACATGGTATTAGATCAATATTTTCATAATCTTTTCAACAAAATCACAAAAATATCAGTGAATTTTATCTTTTGTCCGGCCAGTAAATAAATCCATTGATTCACTACCACCAAAAGCGTCATGCAATGCTAATAGAGATCTGTTTGGCATCATTCTAAAATATAAATAAAATTACTATTATCCATTTTATGCTAGACGAATAATGCTAATGTGGCATTTGAATTGATGAATACACAAAGTTGCACTATATTAAGAAAAATTCGTAAATACAATCGACGCTCCTCTGTTATTCGAACGAAAACAGACGCTTATAACTCTATTATAGTGTGCAAAAATACCGAAAAAGAGGTTTGATTGATTTGTTCATTTACGTCGCACTAGAGCTGCACAATGGGCTATTGGCGACGGTCTGGGAAACATCCCTGAGGATGATCCAAAGACATGCCATCACAATTTTGATCCTCTGCAGAGGGGATGGCACCTCCGCTTCGGTAGCCCGACGACCTGCACGCGAAGTCGAGCACTTTACGGTAGAACAGTTTAACGACAACCAATACCTCACACTCTCGATCCCTACGCAGACTGATCCAAGTGGTCACCCACCCGCACACTGACCGCAGTCAGTGATACTTGACTTCGGTGATCTGCTGGGAGCCGTGTTTTAACGATCAGTCCACTGCGGGACACCGAAAAAGAGGAAAAATTAAAAAATTTGTTTACCTAAGGATAGTACAATCCAAAAAAATGTTGACTTGAAATAAACATTGTCTTTTTGTGAAATTTAATAATGATAAGAAATTTTTTTTAAAAAAAATCAAGCAATACTTTTTTTCAACATCATTTAAAATTATTCTTTTTTAATGTAAAAAATACAAAATGTGTACGTAACGATCAAATAGAGCAATGAAAATTTAATTATACGCACGTACTTCATGAGTTTTTATTTTTTAGAAGAAATTAAAAAAATTAATAAATGGATGAATCAAACGAAATTGTAAGAAACCAGGTTCCAAGAAAAAAAAAAGAGTGATTTAATATTCTTCTTTGAAGTTTTGGATAAATAAAACTATGTAAAACTTTAAGTAGTATGAAACATTATTTTATAAAATTTACTTTTATTGTTACAAGATGATTCAAAAATAATTTGCAGCATTGCGTTATCTAGTTCAGGTCAAAAATATTTTCCAGAAATAGGTTTTTGATTGTTTTCATGTGATATGGAAAAACTATACGGATAAAGATGTTAATAAGAAAAAAAATCTAGATAATAGTTTCAGTTTATTTCTTTCAACAATTCAAAATCACCTTCAGTCTCTTAACCTTTATAATTTGTTTTACATTACTATAATTCATAATATAGTCATATAGTCATAATTTTAATAAATTTTTTGCTTATTTTTTCTCTGTCCTGAATATGTATCTGGTAAGTATTATGAAATTCAAATTTTTAGAATATATAACTTTTAGTTCTAAGCGGATTTAATTCTCTCCTTGGGAAGCAGCGTATGGTAATAAGAGAAATTGTCGGACAAAATGCAAAAAGTAATCAATTACTTGTGATCATGATAACAAGCAATTATGATAACAAGCAATCATAGTTGAAGATTAAAACTTTTATCATCATCAGAAACAATTATAATTTCCGCTTGCAATTGTAACCATAACTATAATTAATATTGAACTACAATTGTAGGTAATTGTGATTATTAAAAATCTTGATTGCAACTGGAAGTTTAATTACAAGTTATCACGATTATATGTAACTTTGATATCAAATTATCAGTATTGCACGTAAATTTGATTTTAAAAAAATTGATTGCTGATATCAATTACGTTTTGTTCTAAGCTAGTGCATAATTGTATTTTGATTGACAATAAAGCGATCTAATAAATAATTTCAAAGCCTTATGAGTTCTTGGAAATATTTTGGCTAGGCTGTGAACTGAACACCAATGTGGAGTTCAAGCATTAGTATATCTGATTTTTCTTGAATTAAACTTAAATTTAGAAAACTTGTTATTTAATTCATTTTCAAAACTATCTATTACAGTATTTGTTGTTTCCAGAATAAATTTATAGGTTTTGCCACTTCGTAAGGGCATCCAAATATTAAAAAAAAAAAAAAATTAGATTATTAAATATTACATTTAGAAGAAAAAAAATTCGAATATTTGAATTGCTTATTTATCTTAACCCTAACCACAATATTAGAAGAAAAAAAAATTTAAATTTTACCCATACAATCAAAAAATCATATAAACTGTAAAATATGAAACAATAAAATAGATAATAATCCATTCTAATTATGAGAGTGATTTCACTAATTCAAAAGAAAAAAAAATTGAGAAGGTAAAGAAACTCAATAATGGTGATAAATTTTAAGAATATTTTCGAAATGTAAAAATAAGCAAATCTGTTAAATAATGTGAATAAACTAAATATGTATACAATAAATATATATCAAAATTTATGAATCAGATACTTTCGTTTTAATAAAAATTCACAATTTTGAATTAAATGATAATCAAATACAATTTTCCAGAGGAAATAGATCAGATTGTATAAATTTAAAAGAAAATTTAATAATTATGAACACAGTTAAAATCGACAATTAAAAAACAAAACGAATCCACAAGTAACATATTTCAATCAAAATAATCTCATGAAAGCAAAAATGAATTATATCACGCTATAAATACGCATAAATTATAACATTTATCGAATTTGATACTTTTCTAGTTTTTTTTTAAATCAGCTAAAGACTTTGGCCGGGATAGCATGGTTGGTAGGGCACTGGACTCAAGTTCCCGAGAACAGGAGTTCGTATCCAGCCGGCCGAAGACTCCCCATGTAGTAAATGGTGACTGGTGCACGTTAAACCTAACCTGACGGGTCACAAAATCCTCTATGTAACCATAACAAATTATACCTCTGGGATTGCTGCATTTGAGATCGATCGTTATCTAGTTCAGGTCAAAAATACGATCTGTGGATGAATGAATGGATCTATGAATGTGTCTGCCCTAAAAACGGATTTGACGTATCGGTGTGACAGAAGTCGAATTCTTGACCATAGATCGCGCCACTGGAAAACAAGAACAATCGCACTTTAAGTGCCTTAATGGCTTACGACAGCAACAAGAAGCTAAAAACGCTATATTTTTTTATTTCAGTTAGGATATTTAATTTGAGTACCTTTTTCCCCAACTGTTCCACATAGGCACAAAAACACTACTTTTATTATTTTTTTTTTCGTGATGTCATGTCCTCTTGTTTTAAAGAACCGAAGAAAGCTCTGCGAGAAAGTCGAGTTCGCAACCTGATTATTGCTTCGTTCGAGTACATTATAACCGTCGTTATATAGCCGATCTAATCTTTACGACTACTAATGTTCAACTACGTAGCCTTGTAATTTTGAACTCAATCCAGAAGACAAGGGAACTCCTGTAGAGGGATTACATGGAGAGGAAGACCACGAGGAACTCCCATGGCTAGCATGAGGGAAAGGAGACTACCCATGATCCGTCTACCACTGAGGATATTTCACGTCAGCACTGTGGTCGCTGCAACTTGAATGTGGAATTCGTATCAACCAGCCATTGCTGGGATTCGAACCCGGTTCGCCTCATTATAAGGCGAACACTCTATCCCTTCAGCCATCGCGTCTCCCGTTCAAGTATAAAACGAATCTTTAGATGCTTCGTCATACATTTCACTTCACAAAGTTAGGGAAGCACAAATTTCTATCGTCACAATTAGAAGAGCCTTCACTTAAATCAGCTGCGAAAAAACTAGGGACATGGCAGGAACATTGTTTCCTTCAAGTATGAACATGAGATTGTTGGTTAGGTGCATCATCCAGATCCCTGTGCGAATGTCAGAATTTATATCGTCGCCATAATTTATATTCGTACTTCTTTGACCCGACTCTTCTATCCTGACGACTTATAATGCCATTGACAAGAGAGGCAGGATGTTGTTGTTGTTGTAGTTCATTTACGTCGCACTAGAGCTGCACAGTGGGCTATTGGCGACGGTCTGGGAAACATCCCTGAGGATGATCCGAAGACATACCATCACAATTTTAATCCTCTGCAGAGGGGATGGCTCCCCTGCTTTGGCAGTCCGACGACCTGCACGCGAAGTCGAGCACTTTACGGTAGAACAGTTTAACGAGGACCCATACCACACACCCTCGGTCCCTACGCAGACTAATCCAAGTGGTCACCCACCCGCACACTGACCGTTGTCAGTGATGCTCGACTTCGGTGATCTACTGGGAACCGTATCTTAACGATCAGTCCACTACGGGACTCGACAGAAGAAGAGGGCATCAATATTTATTTAACCATTATTAACAGAGAACATTCATCCAAGTAACATGCAAATTAAAGGGCTTTAAAAAAAATTAGAGAAAATCTATCAAAATAATCCCTTAATATGTTTCGCCCTATAGAAAAAGAGGAACCTGAGTAATTACAATTGGTGAATTAAATAGGTCGAGGGAAAATATGTTTCTCATATGTTAAAGGGAAAACTATAAAATGTTAATTCATACATACTTGAGATCTAAATAAGAGATAATAAGAAAGGAGGAAGTGAATAATTAAGTGTTGGATAGAGTTCAGTTTTGAATAATAAATGACGAAGATTTAGATAAAGTAATAACATAAAAATATTAGTTAGACATAAAATAAAAAAAGAAATATATATATATACATATATATATATAATGGAAAAT